GGTGTATTTCCTTCTGCGACCTCCTGCGACCTCCTGCGACCTTCTGCGACCTCCTGCGACCTCCTACGGCCTCCTGCGACCTCCTACAACCTCTTGCGACCTCCTGTAACCTTCTGCGAGACCTCTTGCGACCTCCTGCGACCTCCTGCGACCGTCTGCGGCCTGCGGCCTCCTGCGACCTCCTGCGACCGTCTGCGACCTCCTGCGCCCTTCTACGACCTCCTGCGTCCTTCTACGACCTGCGACCTCCTGCGACTGCCTGCGACCTGCGACCTCCTGCAACCTTCTGCGACCTCCTGCGATCTCATGCGACGTCCTGCGACCTGCGATCTCTTGCGACCTACGACCTCTTGCGATCTCCTGCGACCGTCTGCGACCTCCTGCGACCTCGTGCGACCTTCTAGACCTGCGACCTCCTGCGACTGCCTGCGACCTGCGACCTCGTGCGACCTCCTGCGACCTCCTGCGACCTTCTACGACCTCCTGCGACCTGCGACCTCCTGCGTCCTCCTGCGACCTCCTGCAACCTCTTGCGACCTCCTACTATCTCCTGCGACCTCCTGCGACGTCCTGCGACGTCCTGTGATCTGCGACCTCCTGCAACCTTCTGCAACCTCCTGCGACCTCCTGCAACCTCATGCGACCTTCTGCGACCTTCTGCGACCTCCTGCAACCTCCTGCGACCTTCTGCTAACCTTCAAGTGTTTTTTCTATATTTATATAAGAAAACAAAATTTATATAAATATTTTTCATGTATGTAGAGAAAAACGAAATTCATGCAGATATTTTTTTATAAATATAGAAAAATTCTGGAAGTTATAATAATATAGAAAGATATGATGGTTATTTTAACTTAAAAAAGTATATAATACAAAAATTACTATAGTAAAAATATACTTTGCAAATGCCTTTTTTTTTGGCACACTAGCGTTAATTTCCTCTAAAAGAAATCCCGGGGCTTCGTAATTATCGATCCAACGGCTATTAGAAATCTTTTGACCTTTTTGTTTGCGCTTTCATCATGTTTTACCGACACGGTCTTGGAATCGTTTTTCTATTGTGTTGTCGAGTCCCACGTTCCATTGAGACGGTCAATGTCTGACGGTTTAGAACACGTGGAGTGATATCATTGGTAGAGCGTTTGACTGGTGCACTATGTACGGAGAATAATGGAGAGAGAGAGATGCATCGGTTTGACTCCGGCGTTATTTTCCCCTTTTTTGCGGTGGTTCTTTCTTCATCATCCTGACTGTGTAGTTATAGTACCGAAGGATTCATTTGATTCGGATGGTGGTGTTCGGGGGGATGGCGGTGGAGTTGATGATGAGCTACGGCGGCGTAGACAGGTTTTCAGTTACTTCCGCGGCGGCGAAGGTAGAAGAAACCGCCCTTCGAGAGGCGGCGACGGCGGGGATTCAGGGCGTTGAGGAGTTTCTTAGACTAATCGGCCATAGTCAACCCAAAGATCAGAAGCAGCCGGAGATAACTGCGGTGACGGACGTCGTCGTCAACAGCTTCAAGAAGGTGATGTCTCTTCTGGGCAGATCGAGAACCGGACACGCCAGATTCCGGCGAGCCTCCTTGGCTCCTCCGCCGCCGCAATACCCGTCTCCGCCCGCGACAATGGAAGAAGACATTCTTCGACGGGAAGAGACGCAAGAGCCTAAGGTATTGGAAGAAGGGGAGTCATTTCTTTCCTTTAGAGGATTCAACGGCTTGAAAACTGAGCAGAAAACGGAACACGTCGTCGCTGGTGGATCTGCGTTTAGGGTTTATTGTCCGACTCCTGTTCATCGTCTTCCACCATTGCCCCACAACAAGAACATCGTTGTTGGTGGTCCGTCGTCTTCTTCGCACCTTCCGTCGCTCGCGAACGGCAAAACAGGACTATTGGACCGGAGCGATGGCCCGTCAACGGCGATAAATATCGCGCCATCTCCTCCGATATCGTCTCTTACTGGGGACACCGACAGTATCCAGATGTCCATGTCGTCATCTGGGTTCCAGTTCACAAGCCCATCTCATATCTCTGGCTCTTGCGGAAAGCCTCCTCTGTCATCTCCTTCGCTGAAGAGAAGGTGTAATTCCTTAGACGAAGCTGCGCTCAAGTGCGGCTCATCCTCTGGCCGTTGCCATTGTTCCAAGAAAAGGTCTGTCCGAATCTAGATTCCTTAAAAAAAATATTCTTATTCTGTAAATAGTGGGTGAAATCCCGTCTGGGTTGCCGATCTTGTATAGTTTTACTGATAAAAATCCATGCTTTATCTGGAAAAAAAAAGCAGGAAATCTAGAGTGAGAAGAGTGGTTAGGGTTCCTGCCATAAGCAGCAAAACGGCCGATATTTCACCAGACGACTATTCGTGGAGAAAATACGGCCAGAAACCCATCAAAGGCTCTCCTCACCCTCGGTGAGTCAACTCGCTCCTCATCTCGTTCTCTGACTCTATTCATCCGCAGCATCTCGCAATCTTGCCTCGTGTGTGGAATTAGGAGGAGAAAAAAAAAACATCATTAAATCATCGATATCTCAAACATCGGCAGTAGAACAAAAAATTCTACAACTTGCATTTGGTCATTTCTTTCTATTTCAACAAGAAGAACACCCCCTAAACCCGAGTTGACTCGGCTCAAGGACTCACCCCGGGGGCAATTTCGTAAATAATGGCAGGGGATACTACAAGTGCAGCAGTGTGAGAGGGTGTCCAGCACGGAAGCACGTGGAGCGTGAACCAGACGACCCAATGATGTTGATCGTTACGTACGAAGGAGACCATAACCATTCACGCGCTCCTCCTCCTCCCATGCTCCTCGAGTCCTCTTAATTGTAATAATAATTCAATTATATTATATAATTAATTGTGTTATAATGTTTTACCCAACCAAACACTGGCATTCTCTATATATATTAGTTATAATTACATGGGTTAATCGCAGTAAATACAAGTTTAATTAGTAATAAATAAAATATAAGATTTTTTATCTGGGTAGTACAAAGTTTTTTTTATTATATCTCTAAAACATAAGAAAGACTAAAGAAGTTGACTTTGACCACTCAAAAAAGACCTTCAAAATGGGCTTTCGTGGGTTTGGATTAGGTTGAAAACGAGCTTGATTTGATAGTATATAATAATTTGATCCAAATATCATTTCATGGACCGAAACTGTCAATAATCATTTCAGTATGCATGGCATGAATCTTTTTTTGTCACTCGGCCTTTGGATCTTTAATCATGGATCTACAACTTTTATTTCCAAACTCTCATTCTTTCTCCATTATTTGCGGCCATTGATATCCTCATCGCAATGGATTTATAGATTTACAAAAAAAAAACATAATTTTATATATAAAAAATTATCTTTCTTGAAGATGAGTTGGGATGGTGTCCAAAAGAATATTACCTTAAACTCAATCCAGTTTGCGTACGAGGATTCTTTTATTCGGGTTTTGTACGTAATTTTCTCTTAGTTTTATTTGATTTCATCTCGATGGCTGTAGTTGCCATTGTAGTTAGCAAGTTATAATAAAATAATAACATAAATTTAGATAATTCAACCGATAAAATTGAAACTATATTCTATTCCGAATTCAAATTCTCGAGTAAAAAGTAAAAATAAAAATCGCCCGTCGCTTATTGGAAAGTACAACAGTAAGCGAGATTCTAGAAGAGTCGTCCACAAAACCCCATAATAAAACGTACAACGTCTGTACTTCCTTTTAACCCCTCAACGTAACGTAGCATTTCAGTAAATCATATCTAGCAAAGGAAACCCATCCAAAGAATGGCCCGATATATAGATATATATATATATACATATGCATGTATTGTAATATGATACATGTGTGTGTGTGTATATATATATATATGTAGGCTTCTTTCTCTGAATTGCTCATTCCCCAACGCCAAAGAGCTTATTTGACTTTCGCCAGTTCATGTATCTCTCTCTGTTTAAATACTCGAATCCTCTCTCTCCCACTCTCTCTGTTCTGTAATATAGGCGCCACGTGGCAGACTGTCCGCCACTCTGACAGCGAATCAGACGACGCTGGTTCCGACTCCATGAGGTATCACATCCGTGGGAGCCATGTATATTCCCTCAATTCCCAAAAAATAAGAATATTTTAACAAAATTTTAAAATTCAAATATATTAGGAAAAATTTATATACCTTTTCGTAATATGATTTAAAATTTATTACACACTTTCTCCGTTTATAATGGATAAAAACTGTCTTAAATCCCAAAACTGCATTCTTTCTTTAAAATAGAGAGTTTGTTTATTACTTAGTGGATTTCAGTGATTAATTAAGTTAAGAAATTGCTGATAACTCTTCAAATGTTAGTCGTAATATTATGAGCTGAAACATTGTGTGATCGCTAAATCTATAACATTGTTTCAGATTTAGCATAGATGATTGATAAAATAAAGCGATTAAAAGCAGGATTGTCTTTTTTTAATCTAATCAATAAATAAGGGGTTTGAATATATTTTTATTATTTTGTTGGATTGTAAAAGAATCCACACAAGGCACGGCATCGAGAAAATATTTCCCAACAAACTCCAACTGAGATATTGCAAATTAATCAGATAGGTTAGTCCTAAAACAAATATTAATGTATATTCCATTTGTGTTGAAGTTGGATTTTTTTTGTCGGAATAATTCGGCCACCCCATATGATCGAGAACGAAAGGGGAGGTTCTTTTACTATATAAATTAATATTTTTATTGATATGATTATTAAATAGTACAAGGAAAAAAATACCAAAATACACACCAAAATTTTTTTGTGTATAATTGCACGAACCCATCAGTTTCAAGCAATTATTGAAGTTGAAGTCCTTGGAAAGGATTTTAATGTATTACAACTCTTATTCCGAAATCTACATGAATCTCCACTATGACAATACATATATGAACGTTTCATGGATAATAATAATAACCCATATATATATATTTAGATTCACGAACGTTCATTTATTGTCATAGTGGGTTATTCATTTATTGAAAGATTGGAGATGGGTGTTCCTCATTGTTCAATTCAGTAAGATTTCATCCAAATTGCAGGGATCAAATGGACCAACAAACAGCAAGTTTGCCCATTGGTTACATTACAAAAGAAAATATTGTCTCTTTTAGAAGACGACGACTCTTTCCATCCACGGATGCACGTAGAATTAGATGATTTATTTTCCCTCGTAACAATGATAATAATAATCAAGAAGGGTATGTATGATCATCATTGTTAGAAGGGTAATTAAAATAATTAGGGAAAGTATTAGTTTAAGTAGGTAGGAAACACGAGAGAGAGAGAGAGAGAGAGAGAGAGAGAGAGAGAGAGAGAGAGAGAGAGAGAGAGAGAGAGAGACACCAACTAAGCCACAAAGGCGTTGAAAATTGTGTGTTGTAATGATCGGTTGAGAGGTGCTTGTCTTGTTTTCCTTCCTCCTTGTTTATTCGTGTCACTTCTCTTTTTTTTTTTTTTATGCTATGGTTTCCTTCTTCCATGGTTTTATGGCCATTTCTCAGACCTAACACCAATTATTATTTTTTTTACCTCCTCATGAAATTATCGCCTCTCAGCATTTCCACCCAATCGAGCCGCGGCGGCGGCGACATCGGCGACGGAGGGGACAGGCCGTCTCCGGTCGCCCCTGGCGCAATGCTGCCGGTTTTCCTCAACGACTTGACCGGCGGTGGCGGAGACGGCGGCAGGGAGTTCGTGGAAGTGACTTTGGAGTTCGACGACTCCATCTCCGTCTCGTCGGATTTCTCCTGGAGGTTGCCGAGGAATCTCTCGACGGCGTCTTCGAAGATCCGGCAGAAGCTGGGGAGGCTGCTGAGGTCTGGATCGACGAAAACGACGTCGTCGGGGAGCGATATCGAATGCCAGCCAGTGACCGATGCGATTGCGGCGAGGGAAACGCGGAGGAAGAAAGCGCGGCTGCAACGGACGACGTCCAGCGCTCAGAGAGCGCTGAGAGGACTAAGGTTCATCAGCAAAAGGACAAGGGGAGGCGATTGCGATTGCGACTGCGACTGCGACGAAATGTGGAGTAACGTGGAGAGGAGGTTCCTCTCGCTCGCGAAGGACGGTTTGCTCGCGAGAGATGACTTCGGAGAATGCATAGGTAACAACAACAAAAAAAACTTTTTTAAAAAAAAAATCAAACGCTAAAATCTTCAAAAATGATTTTTGATCGAATGGTCAAAAGGGATGATGGATTCGAGGGAGTTTGCGGAGAGTGTATTCGACGCGCTTGCGCGGCGACGGGGACAGAGAGTGGAGAAGATCACAAAAGACGAGCTTCATGAGTTTTGGTTACAGATCTCCGACCAAAGCTTCGACGCGCGTCTTCAGATTTTCTTCGACATGTACGTGTCTTTTTTCCTTCAACTGTTAATAATTAATTTCTTTAAAAGAAAATTGGTGTATTTCATAAACGTATAAATCCAAGAAAATGCAGCTATGAAAATGGTTTGATTTAAAATGGCGATTTTTATGAAAATATTCAATCATCTTTATCACGTATAATTTTTTTTTTAAAAAAACGGAGTTAATAATAAGACATGCATGTCTTGGCGATTTTCGGTGGAAAGCGCAAAGATTCTGCGCCTTTCCCTCTTGTTTGTATTCCATTCATTCCCCACAGAATTTCAGCCGTTGGATCTGATGGTCTCCCGATACAACTGTAACTACGACCGTTGGATGAAACCATACGCTTGGTAGTTGGACCGACATCATTTTCCAAAACTGGATTTACTTGGCCCAAATCGTAGGCTTAAAAAAAATATTTGAATTTTGTTTTTTCTTGGGAGTGAAATTGCATTGGGACCGTTTCTTTTCATGCGCTTTCGGTGGTACATGTGCAGGGCTGATAGCAACGAGGACGGGAAGATCACCAGAGAAGAAATTCAAGAAGTACGGCTCTTTATTCCCTACAAGTACTATACATACATGCATACATATACATACATACATGCATGCATGCATGCATACATACAATCAATCGGGCGACATAATAAAACTCGGTGTTCTAAGTTAGCTAATAAAATGAAGCATTTATATTTCACGTCAATAAATTCTTATGAACCATATTGGAAGCTCCCTTGGCTGGATGGCCAGCGTCTAGGATGGACGTCTTAGGTGGGTTTATATATTTTTTTTATCCCAAAAGTATTTATCATTTTCGATTTTTTATATCGGTTTTTCATTAATAAAATACTATTTTCAAAAAAAAATTTACTTTTTTTTGTCAATTTTTTTCTTTATTTTCGTATTCATATTCATTTGGTTCAAATTCAAATTTGGATCGAGTTTGTTCATTGTAGATAAAGGTGTCAAACAGATCGATCCGGTCCGGACCCACATTCGGCTCGATGGTGTCGTTCGGATTCAGACCGGCTCAAATTTTTCGAGTCGATAGATTCTATAGATCCAAACCCGACGCCTGACCCTATAGAGCTCGGGTTTGAATTCGGATCGGGGCCAGCCCGTTTAATACTAATGTTAAGTAGTATGCAGCTATAGTGACCTAAAGAGGAAAGAACCAACCTATGATAGGTATAAATTAAATATGGTCACAAATCAATGGATGAAATCCACAATGAAGAGTTAAATTTACTAAATAATGAGAACTTTATTAAATGATTCTCTTGTTTTAGCGACGCTCAAACTGTTTCTATTATCAATCAAATCCCATCTAGATTGCATGTTTGTCATGAATATTTCATAAAACCTTGCAATAAGCCTTCTTTTCCATGTCATGCATACATATACCTGCATATATACATATATATATATATATATATATATATATATATATTCACAAATTATAAAAATGTATTGGACATCCAAACTTACCACACACTGTGTCTTATTTTTTACTTAACTTTTAAGCACAGCTGTTGATGCTCAGTGCTTCAGCAAACAAACTGTCAAAACTCAAAGAGCAAGCGGAAGAATACGCAGCAATGATCATGGAAGAGCTGGACCCTGAAAATTTCGGATACATCGAGGTAAACGGAATCATCGCTATAGATACGGTTTCTCCATAGATGAATCAAGAGATCACAAGTGGGATTTTTCCGCCGTCTTGCAGTTATGGCAGCTAGAGACGCTCCTCCTACAAAGAGATACATACATGAACTACAGCAGACCGCTGAGCACAACAAGCGTCGGTATGAGCACTCCGACACTGAATGTTCTGAGGCCTCGACACCTGCTTCGTAGATTCAAGAACAAAATTTGGCGTCTCGTCCTTAATAATTGGCAACGCTGTTGGGTTCTCCTGCTGTGGATAGCGGCTATGGCTGCGCTCTTCATCTGGAAGTTTTTCCAGTACCGAGACAGAGCCGTTTTTCAGGTCATGGGGTATTGCTTGACCACGGCCAAAGGTGCAGCCGAGACTCTCAAGTTCAACATGGCTCTAGTATTGTTACCCGTGTGTAGGAACGCCTTGACATGGTTGAGATCTACCCGAGCTCGAGCTTTTGTTCCGTTTGATGATAACATAAACTTCCACAAGGTAAGAAAGAACCACCGTTGTTACTCGTCTTGCTCCGATCCTATCAGAAAAATGTCGGGTAATAATGCCTGTGCCCCCCACTTGTGCAGACTATTGCGTGTGCTATAGCAATCGGGATCATTGTTCACGCTGGCACACATCTGATCTGTGATTTTCCTCGCCTAGTAAATTCGAGCCCGGAAATGTTTACCATGATCGCATCCTCATTTCCTGACAAGAAGAAGCCCACCTACAAAGACCTGATGACAGGTGTGGAGGGAATAACTGGAATTTTAATGGTCGTCTTGATGGCGATAGCATTCACATCGGCATCGAAGCATTTCAGGAGAAATCTGGTGAGGCTTCCAGCACCATTCGATCGGTTGACAGGATTTAACGCTTTCTGGTACACTCACCACCTTCTAGTGATCGTCTATGTCATGCTTCTTGTACATGGGACCTTCTTGTTCTTCGTTCAAAAGTGGTATCAGAAAACTGTAAGCTGCAGCGAACTCAGATCTGTACTTTATCTTAACCAAATGTCTAAAAGCCGTAGCTTTACTGACCCATCAACTTTGATCTCTCAGACATGGATGTACATATCAGGTCCTTTGCTGCTTTATGTAGCAGAACGGAGTCTTCGGGCCTGTAGGTCCGAGCATTACTCTGTCAAAATCCTCAAGGTCACTCATCCACTGTACAAATTACTCTGTTAAAATATGTTTCAACAACACAATCTTAATGACAGCATTGCTCGATATATGCAGGTCTCAGTGCTCCCTGGGGAAGTTCTGAGCATAATCATGTCCAAGCCTCCTGGATTCAAGTACAGGAGCGGTCAGTACATATTCTTGCAATGTCCAACAATCTCTCGATTCGAATGGTGAGTGGGGAACTTTGAGTAAACTGTTAGCAAACATCTCAACTTTCTCATAAGCACAACAAGCTGTGCCTCCAAATCTTTCCAGGCACCCATTTTCTATTACCTCAGCACCAGGGGATAAAAACCTTAGTGTCCACATCCGGATAGTTGGAGACTGGACAGAAGAGTTGCGACGAGTTCTAACCGAGGGTAAAGATATTTCAACGTCCATGATCGGCCGAGGAACTTTCTCTGCCTATACCAATGTCGATCCATCACGGTAATTTTCAAGATAACTTCTCTGTCCTTCCAAGGCTCGGACAATAAGTGTTAATATGACCTGCAACCAAACATCCACAGCCGACCTAAATTACTAGTCGATGGACCGTATGGAGCTCCAGCACAAGACTACAGAAGTTATGATGTCTTGCTCTTGATTGGACTGGGAATCGGAGCAACCCCTTTCATAAGCATCCTGAGAGATCTACTGAACAATGCAAGAGATGTACAAACAGTAAGCCCCACAGTTGACATCAAATAGGTGCATCGGTAACTTCATTTTCAGAAAATTTGGATTGGTATAAGTAACTCT